GAGACAATAATGCAGAAAAAATTCATTTCTCTCCCTGGTTTCTTTTCTTCCTTTGTTAATATGTCAGGCTTATTTTTGCTGACATAAGGGATTAAAACAGAGGCAGAGACAGCTGCATGGTGATAGAAAAGGGTGGAGGGAAGAGATCAAGCTGAGTAGCAGACAAGATTTTTCCGCAGTAAGCAGTTTGTCAACCCAGCATAAATTTTAGCTGTTTTTAACTATAGATTGCACTGGGAAGTGAAGGCCACATCCAACTTTGTTTGCCCTTCTGCAGTTCAAATGTTTTGTAAGACCCAGAATAAAGTACATCAGTTTAAACAGCCTTGATGGAAGAAGAAGCAATCCATAATGGCCTTGATCACACTTGGCCAAAGAACCCCAGTTATACAATTTTGACCATTATTTGGATCATTTCAATACTTTCTATCCACAAGCACACGGCTAACCTCAATTCTTTTGCTCTGGCAAACAGATTATTTCCTCCTCGCTGGAAGGGTTGTTTTAAAATGTACCAATAAGGGATCACTCCATTCCGTATTGTTTCAGCATGTGTGAATGCTGCTGTTGATTTATTTCGTTTTGAAGGGGTTGGGTTTTTGTAGCCTTTTAAAAAATGTTTTAAAAGGAATATTGTTAAATTGCTAGTAGCAGCACCACAAAAACAATATTAATACATTGCTCAGAAGGAGAAAGCCTTCCCCCTCACTTGCAGGTGAAAGAGGGCTTGAGAAAGGGACATTTCATGGTTTGAATTCTAAAGAAAGAGGTGTAGCATTAATGTCCCCTCGCTCTCTTTTTTAAATCCTGCTCTTCACAATACTTGCAAGTCTTTTAAAACCCCCTTCCTCCTCCAATGCTGTGCAAAATTAAAATGAAAGCCAAGAACTGAGAAGGAGAGAGATGCAATGAAATACTGTAAGGAAAGATGGATGAGTGAGTAAAGGAGAGAAAGGAAAAGGGGAGGAGGAGAGTAGGCTTATATTTCTCTATCAATATATTGCTAGGGTAAAAAAAAAGGGCAATGAACTGATACAAAAGTAAGAGCAGTGTAGCCTGCTATAATGGTTCAAATAGAAATAAATGCAGTGATACAGTTTAAAACAATGTAAACGCTTCCAACGATATGGATACACATGACCGCTGGGGAAAAAATGTATCAGTGCAACAGGGGGTTGAAAAGAATTGGCATAACTAGGATACCTTTCTCATGAGTAATTGAGCCCTAAGATTTATATTACCTGAAACCCGAAAAGAGGAAGGCCAAATATGAGATGGATTAAAGGAAGCCACAGGCTTGAGTCTGCAAGAGCTAAGCAAGGCTGTTGAGGACAGGACATGTTGGAGATCTCTCCTTCATATTGCTAGTGTAAAAAAAAAGGGCAAAGGAGGGCCTGATTTCCCCAAGAAAAAATGAACTGATACAAAAATAAGAGCAGTGTAGCCTGCTATAATGGTTCAAATAGAAATAAATGCAGTGATACAGTTTAAAACAATGTAAACGCTTCCAACGATATGGATACACATGACCGCTGGGGAAAAAATGTATCAGTGCAACAGGGGGTTGAAAAGAATTGGCATAACTAGGATACCTTTCTCATGAGTAATTGAGCCCTAAGATTTATATTACCTGAAACCCGAAAAGAGGAAGGCCAAATATGAGATGGATTAAAGGAAGCCACAGGCTTGAGTCTGCAAGAGCTAAGCAAGGCTGTTGAGGACAGGACATGTTGCAGATCCTTCATTCATGAGATAGCCTTATGTCAGAGGTCACTTACAATCATAATTGCAGACCTGACTAGCTTCACTAGCCAGGCTTTATTTTAAAATTCACACTTCCTTTACAATTGGGAGCCAAGAAAATGGGGAAAGGAAAATAAAATCCCCATTGGTGTAATTATTTAAATTATTAAAAAACCCATCCTAAATTGCACACTAGGGTTTTATAAGAAAGGAAACACAATTGTGTGGTCTGTTGTCAAAATCAATAGACCACAGTACACAGTACTGTACAGTACACAGTTCTGCTCTCCTGTAAGAATTTATTATATTTTTCAGAGAAACTGCTCTTTTATTTAGTTACACCCAAATTTCCTAGTCCTCTGGAGCAGATTTTTAAGATGCAAAGGAGGAGGCTGCTGGAGGAGGGAATTTGCTGGATGCTACTTGCAGGATCTAACGAAGCATGATATTGTACTCAGGTCTTCATTTTGCGGGAATTAGTTTATATCTAATGTGAAAGGAACTGAGTGCCTTTTGAAGAACATTGTCATGCCCTTACGGTGCCAATAAATAATACAGTGGATATAAAAAGTTTACACACCCCTGTTAAAACGTCAAGTGTCTGTGATATATATAAAAAAAGAGAGACGAAGATAAATCTTTTCAGAACTTTTTCCACCTTTAATAAGACCTATGAACTGTACAATTCAGTTGAACAACAAACTGAAATCTTTTAGGTGGAGGGAAGTAAAAATAAAAAAATGAAATAATATGATTGCATCTGTGTGCACACCCTCTTATAACTTGGGATGTAGCTGTGTTCAGCAGTAAACAATCACATTCAAACCCATGTTAAGTAGAAGTCAGTACACCCCTGCCATCATTTAAAGTTCCTCTGAGGAATCCCAAATAAAGATCAGCTATGCTAGTAAGTCTTTCCTGACATTTTCTTAGTCACATCCTACAGCAGTCACATCACATCCTGGTCTGCAGAGAGCTTCTAAAGCATCAGAGGGATCTCATTGCCGCTGCCCCCTCCCCCTCCCACCATGGCGCCACACACACACACACCGCCACAAGGGTGTGTGTGTGAGAGCTTTCCTTCTGAACCCTCACTCCCATCTGGCACCATCTTGTCTCTAGCAAAAGGAAAAAAAGAACTGGTCTTTGACACCAGTGGAGGACCCAGGAGAGACCCTCTACTCATAAAAAAGTTTAGTGGAAGCTTGCATGACTTGCAGATCCTTTCTTACCCTTCCTCCTGATTCCCAATACGGCTTCATCCGCCACTCTTTGGTGAGGAGAGTGTGGAACCCTGAAAAACCAGAGAGAAGGGTCTTCATCTCTCCCACCCCACCCCCCTGAGCCACAGTACAGTTGGCCAGGAAGAGATCCCACTTCAGTTCTGCAACGGTGGTGTGCATGCGCTCACATGTGCTGCGTTCATCGGCTCTTCTTGCTCTGTGCAGGACTTTCCTCTGGACTTCTGCCCTCTCCCCTTCCCAATGCCCCCATGGCTCTCCTGGGAAATTGAGGACCTTCCCAGCTCAAGGGGAGACACCCGAAGCCCAGAAATCAGGGCCAGTCCCACTTTTAGGCACACTGCCCCCACCCCATGAAGAAGCTTCCTCTTGGGAAGCTTCCTGTCTACAACTCCCCCATTCTGGATCCCATGGATTGCATGGATCAGCTCCTCTTCCTGCCCATGTCAGCAAGAGGGGGGCCTTTTCCTCACTCCATTTCTCCTCATCATCATCCTGCCACCTTCAAGCAACAGTCAGCCCCCCTGCCCTGCCCGTTCATCCTCCTGCAAGGATTTCCCCTTTCCTTCAATATTAAAGTTTGTGGAAAGGGTCACTACTTCCCTAGACTCCCTTTATATGAGGACTGAGTGGCACCAAGGTGTCCCTTCCTTTCCTTCTATCTGAAAACATTTTAAACTGTATCCCAACCTCTGGAACTCCCTGCCACTGGAGGCCAGGCTGGCCCCATTCATTGCTCTCCTTCCATGACCAGGCAAAGACCTTTCTCTTCAGGCAAGCCTTCCCTCAGTAAACCAGCTACCCATGTGTGATTTTCAGATAGCTTGCTATTCATTACTGTTTTGATTCGATTTTTAGTACTGCTGCGCTGCCGTCCCCTCCTCTCAAGGGGGGGAGATGATAACTTCCTCAATGGCTCAGGGGGGTGAGTCTTTCAAAAAGGTTAAGAACCATTGGTTTAAGTGTGTGCACACTGATGCAACCATATTATTTCATTTTTAAAATTTTAGTTCCCTCCACCTAAAAGATTTCAGTTTGTTGTTCAACTGAGTTGTACAGTTTATAGGTCTCATTAAAGGTGGAAAAAGTTCTGAAATGATTATCTTTGTCTCATTTTTTTTACATCACAGACACTTGACGTTTTAACAGGGGTGTGTAAACTTTTTATATCCACTGTATTTGGGTATTACTTATTTTGCCTTCTCATTGGTGCCTCCTATTCATGTTTTTTAGCAGATGCTTCTTATGAGACAAATGTGAATGCCCTGTGAGAATACAGATGACAATATTACAGTGTATTTCTTACTATCTGATTTTAAAAAGCACCTCAGGTCTTAATCTTACTGTTGTGTTTCAGTACCAAACCCAGTTATTCGGGATTCAGTTCTCCTTGATGCAGTACAAAAGCACAAACCACGTGAGACTTTTGATTGATTGATACTGAAATATAACACCAATAATAAGAACATGATCTGAAAACATTTCCAGCAGAAGAGGTAAAGGGCGATATTTCTGTTTCTTTCAGTTTAAACTAGGAATGGAGAAAGTCCGGCTTTCCATTCGCAACTGGACTGCAACTCCCATCAGCCCTCGCCCCTCCAAGTGACTGACGAGGGGCGACTGATGGGGAGTGTACTTTCCACAGCAGCAGGGCAGACTGATGGGAATTGTAGTTTCCACAGCAGCAGGGCGGTCTTTTCGCATCGTTGATTTTTGACGTCCAGAAATTAAAGGGTAAGAGAACAACTTAAAATTGACAGCCGTGGTGGCACCAGCAGCTGAATATTTTGGGATCTCAACTGTGTACAAAACCTAACAGCCCAACCCCATTCAAATACTTAGGGCCCTCTCAGCCCCGTTTCCACAGTGAGAACGAGAGGAACCAGCAACAGGCTACGTCACGACACCCACAGATAGCGGGGGTGGGGGGGAAGAGAGCAGGAGCCTATCAGCTCCCAACTACTGAGATTTCCCCCTCAAAGGCCTCCCATCTCTGAGGGCGCCAAAAGACGCCGCGCTTAAACACCGTTCCTTCCCACTCTCCCAGGAGGAGGGAGGCTGAACACTGCTGTCCCGCCTTCTCTCGCGCGTCGTTGGCTGTTGTCGAGTGAATGACCCCGCCGGTGACCAATCAGCCGACATCCTCCTGGTCCCAAACTGTCCATTTCCCTTTGCTCGCCTTCGTGGGCCGCCGGAAAGGGGAGGGGTGAGTACCAATTGCTTAAAATTATTCCGACTGAGGAAGGCAAGGTGGGTTCTTTAGTCTTCCTCCCTTTTGCCCCTGTAGTTGTGAGTAAGGATCTTCCAATGGTGTGGAACTTGCCTCGGAGTCAACGACCACATAAGGTTTAACTTTACCGAGTGAGAGCGGTGGCTGAGGCTTCTGTCTCCTCTCTTCCTTTAAGTAAATAAATTAGTGGGCAAAATACATATATTTTCAGACCTGTGTTTTAGCCCTAATAATTTATTTCCGTGTGGGCGTCTTCAGACCCAATGAATAAGCCGGTACTTGGGATTGCTCCTCTCTGCAAGGCTTTCCCCCTCCCCTGAGATCCCCAGTTAATATGGAGCAACACACTCCCCACCCTGGTCTCCTCATAAGAAAGGCAGGCGGGCAACTGTTAAGGGGGGGTGGGAGAGTTTCTCTTTGCAATTGGGGTCGGTAGCACACGCTGGCCGATCTAGAGGATTTAGGGATGCTTAGTTTGAAGTAAGGCGTGCACTATTTTCATCTTTCTCCTTTGGTCCACGTGTGGCATCCCTAGTGTGGTGAACTCTGGCTGTTGCAAAAAGGGATGCCAGACCAAGAGCCTGTGAACAAACTACCCAAGGCTCCCACTCAAGATCTCACCCTTGGACTCTCCTGTGCCATCTGAATTATCTCTGGTTCTGCTCTTCCTCCTCCTAAAACTGTACAGTTGTGTGACGCTCTAATGGAGTGGTGCCAGAGTCAGGTTATACTTGATTGTCATTCTTGAGACCTGAGAAAGACATGCCCCCCACACTTCCCAGAATTTGGGGAGAGCCACCCTGTGCCGTGGCTCATGAACTGCTCATGTGGTGAAGCTTTTATTGTGCAACTGCTTCACCCCTTTCAGAGAATGATTATTATGCATATGGTGTCCGGACATCCTGGTCCTTAATTTGTGAACTGTGTTTTTCTGCTGCTGTTTTTGTTTTTTAATTTCCTTTTCATTTTGCACAAAATTGGATCCAGCAGGGGCGACAGATTGGGTGTATACTGCCTTTTGAGTCATAGTGGTAGGATTATAGGCAGAGCTTGAAAAATTTTACAGTGTCTCACCAATCAGTATGACTGGACTATAGCCTTGCAATTTACTGGGATTGGGAATCACTGATTTATGCCCTCAGATTTGGGTTGCTTTATTACCTGTGTGCCCGTGGGGTCATGAAGCTTGGTTTTGAATGCCTTTCTTTTGAATGTCTCCGGCAAAAAGAAAACTGAAAGCAAAAGCGTCCAGCCTCAAGCCACGGTTCCCTCCCACCCCTCAACCTCATTCAGTTGAAATTGGGAGCAGGGAATCTCCATATTCTCCAGCATGGGACTACTCTGCATTCATGTACTTTTGCGTAGATAATTCAGAGGCATTTGCTTCCATGTAATCATAAGATTATTCATAATTATTCCTATGTTGAGTGTTCTAGTTTATAACTATGTTCTAATATATAACTAATTTATAACTAAGTTATAATTATAACTTCATAATTTTCCCTTTGTCATTATCTGTTTACACGTTTGAGAGGTCTGGTGGTAAGAGTTGTGTAGGGTCCAACTCCTTATAACTTTGAGCTTCAAATGAGTTCTGTTGCATAGCTATATTAAAGATAAGCTTTAAAATCAGTTATAATTTGTTATTATATTCTTAGCTTGAATGTTTTCACAGGAAGCAAATTTTAAAATAACTACAACTTCTCTTCCAGATTTAGCTCACTTGCATTCTGATGCTGTCAGGTTAAAGCACTTAGTCATAGAAACAGATACTAAAATGCCTGTTTTCAAACATCCGGAGTACCCTGAAGAGACCTTGCTTCGCTTGGAAAGCCTGGTGCCCTGTCGAGAATCTCAAGTGTCCACTTTGCTGTCACTCTTTGGAGAGGTAATACTTGTATGCTCAATTTCCTTTATTTAATTGCCTTCTAAAGTATCTAGCCTCCAACCCCCCCCCCCCTTTAGATTGAAGTGTATTAAAGCAGTGTAACTTACTGGGAAGAAATAGTATTTTCTGACTACTTTTCTAAGTCCTTATACTTGGCAGTGGTAAAGAGAGTTATAATGGGATTGTTGTTGTTATTATGTGTTGTCAAGTCAGAAACAATTTATAGTAACCCTAATTGAACTTTCAATGTAAGTGAGATATTTAAGGAGTGATTTTACAAGTTTTACTTCTCCAGGGAGTTTCCATGGCTGAGCAGGGATTCAAACCCAGGCCTCCTGAATTGTAGTCAGTCACTATATCCATCACACTGGGTGTCTGGAATAGGGTACCAAGCAAGGTTTGCTCTGAGGTGCACGTGCGTGACTCTGCCTCCTTCCATGCAGCCTTCTTCCTCTATGCAGTGATTGTTTTCAGCCCCTTTGGTTCCGGTTGCGACAGAACTCCATGGGGGGGGGAGCATCATGTGTGAGAGAGGTAGTTTTGATAATTGAAAATTGGTTGATACCAAGGTCAGCTTATTATTAAAATAACTTACAATCATAAGCCACTATGAAGATATGCTTGAAGAATGATCAGAATGCTCTATCTTAAAGGCCATGAAATCTTAGATTCTGCTACCCAAATTTGCCACCTATTTTAGTGTTTGACCTATAATGATTTATAATATCTTGAAAATTGCAGTGCTGGCTTCAGGCCATTCATACTATTGAACCCTGGTCAATATTAGTTGGTTTATAAAATCAAAGGGTAGGTTGCTCTGATGCATCTTAGCTGCTGCATTTTTAGCAAATTGCTTTATTCTTCATGTTTCATCTAGCAGGAAGCTTGATGAGTCAAAGTTCTGTAAATTGTTTGACAGAACAAAGGCCAGACTGTATTTTTTTAAAAAAAGGCAGTACAACAAATATTAAACATACATATATATTTTTTTGTTTAGCGTCAGCATTACAGTTTCCCAGCTCTTTTCATCTATGGACACACATCTAGTGGAAAGACTTACGTGGTGAAGACTCTTTTGCAAACTTTGGAGGTAAGAAGAAAAATAGATTTGAACTGTGTACTGTATAAGAAAACACTAAAATTATGAAATAATTGGGTTCACAGTGGCAGTTCCCTGATAATTAGCAGTCAGTGTGAGAAGTATGAGGATACATTCTGTAATACTGTCTTGGAATACTTTGGCAGGCGTTGGCTGATGAATCAAAGGATCTCAAAGGTTAAGATTTCCTTTGTTTAAATGAATGAAGTGATTAATTAATGCCATGGTGTTTTTGCATTACTCCTGCCTTCAAATAACCTGGTGCCAAATGTTGGATGAATTTGGCCTTGGACTAGACCTACTATTAAACTTAAGCAGGGCCTTTGAGAGATTATTTTGAGTGTTGTCAAAGTGCAGGAAACTGTTAGGTTTAATGTACAGTGGTGCCTTCCTGAACGGGTGCCCCGTTTAATGATGAAATAGCATAGCGATGAAGATTTTGTGATCGCTTTGCGATGTTTTAAATGGGGAAAAATCACTTTGCGATGATCGGTACCCTGTTTCGCTTACCAGTCATCACAAAGCAATGATTTTTAAACAGCTGATCGGTGGTTCCAAAATGGCCACCCGGTAAAAAAATGGCCGCCCGCTGTGTTTAGGGACAGATTCCTTGCTTACCGAGCAGCGAAAATGGCTGCCGTATGGAGGATCTTCACTTAAAGGTCAGTTTCCAGCCCATAGGCACGCATTGAAGGAGTTTCAGTGCATTCCTATGGGCTTTTTAAAATCACATAGCGACGAAATTGCTTTGCAGCGATTTTTGCTGCAACGATTAACGTCGCTATGCGAGGCACCACTATATATTTTATATATTTACCATCAGGACTGAAGAATTGTGCTTGTGAGATATTCTGCTTCAGATACCAGAATAATTTCATCTTGAATCCTGTGCATCTTGACTGAGTCAAACTGCAATTTTCTGCTGTGTCTCAGGCAGCAAAATATATTGGGTCTGTTCAGTTTTTAAGAATGACAGTTTAAGTTTAAGAACCAGTAGTGTTATGTGAAAGATGTTATGGCAAACTCAGAAGCCAGAACAAAGATTTCTTCAGGGTCAGCTTCAATATGCTTGCTAATGAGCTGATGAATTGTGTACCTTGCTGCGCTTAAGGCATTGTGTGATTGATTATTAATAGGGACTTCTCTCTCTCTTGAACTTGAACCTGAATTGGTTCTCTCTCCCAGCCAGTTCTGTTGCACTTGTGTTGTTGGCATTTTAAAGCCTGATTGTGGGGGTGGTGTGCGGTTATCTCCATAGTTCCTTCTGACCTTGTGTACAGCTAGATGCAGTGGGTAGGTGCTGACAGAAGAGTATGATGTTGTTGTACACTGTTAGTGCACATTTAACCTAGTGACTTCTTCAGCTCACTTTCCTGAACTACTAATGTTCTGTAAAATGCATTGTACCCCTCAAGTATTGTTACCTCAGTCATGTCACTTAGAAAATATAAGCTTCATACATAATGCCTGATCGATAAATGCAGTACTGGAGCAAATACTGTTAGCTTTTACTCTCAGTTGGATAGCTGATTACTTCTGCTAACTCACTGTAATTACAAAGTTTGCTTCCTCAGATCTTTGAGTATAGTGACAGCACTATTGTGTTTCTTTGCAAATGCACTTTTAGGTTTATTGTTTTCAAATGGTCTAGGTGATTTGAATTTTATTATTTTATTATAGAAATGTTGAATGTGTTTGTGGCTTTGTTAGTGGTATTTTGTGTACATTTTTGCAATATGCCATAATAAGTTTGAATCCATTCTTTTACCTTTTAGCTACCTCATGTGTTCATCAATTGTACACAATGTTTTACATCAAGATTGCTGCTAGAAGAAATTTTGAGGCAATTACAGCATCTTTCTACCAAGGAAGAACATCCTTCTCTTATATCCTGTGATTCATTCAATGATTTTGTATGCATATGTAAACAGACAATGATGGTGCCGGATCTTCAGAATCAGACTGTTTATATTGTAAGTATGAGAGTTGCTACCTGTGTAATATTAAGCTAGTTTCATGATGTGAATATTCATTTCAATTTGATTTCCCCCCCATAATGACAGGTGGCATATCTTACAAAAACACTGAAAATAGTGATTTATACTAGAGGGATGCAAGTGTCTCTTGATCCTTTCTGTCCCCCCCCCCCCGGCATACAGAGCAGGGTGACTGCCTTGTAAGAGATATTCCACTTTATGCCCAGGTCTGTGACATTATTTGTATGTCTCTTTTTAAAGAAGATCCTGCAAATGAGAAGAAACACAAATGACTATGACCTGGGAGTCTCTTTATTATGTGATTTTTCCACTCAAAGCCACATAGCAATCATTGTTGCACAATCACACACATGCAGTCCTAGTATTTTAGTGAGGTTTAGTAAACTAAGCAGAGTGACAGAGCAAAGAAAACGAATGCTGCAGAATGCAAAAAGCCTCTGAACGGTGGTGCAAATTCTTCTCTTCACCTTACAGTTCTGTAGGATGGCTGGCAGATTGTCCACAGGGAATTATTTAATGTTATATGCTTCAGTTCTACAAGCTTAGGATGACTGAGATATTGGTGGGTGCAAAAAGCATCCAGAATTGAAAATCATTTTATCTTTTTTTTAAAAATAGAATTCAATAAAAATTGACCATTTTAAAATCTTGGGTTCAGTTTTATCCATTTTTTATTAAACTAAAATGAAATAAAAATGTTCTCACTAGACTCAGAAAAGTAGAGCATAATCAAGCCATTCTTCCATATTCTTGATTTTCTTAGTGACTTAAAGTAAGTTAATTGTGAGAATAGGGCTGTCAGAACTTTACCAGTAATGCAAATGAACATGTTGCCCATTCTTGTGTTCATACTGTAGGTTACCTTATTTTTCCATTTATAAGACGTCCCATCCAGGTTTATAACACACACACACCACTTTTCTAACCCCAAAATTAAGAAAACGTAGATTTGAGTATTCAGCCGCTGGGCTCAAAATGCTTGGACATTAGGAGTCTCTGATGCATCTGAGCCTACAGGCTCCACCTCAATGAGGTGTGTTCCATTTGGTTTGCTCAGCATCAGCTGATGTCAGTTCCATAAGGCTCGTGATTGGAGGAAGCTAAGTCTCCTGACTGAGGGAAGCTAAGCCTCATGACTGAAAGAAGCCTGTTTACAAAGGCAAGGTATGTTTTGTTCTCTCCTCAGCTGTCTCAGCTTATTTCCGTGTAAAAGACACTCCTCGATTTTTAGTGTAATGATTTTAAGAAAAAGAAAGAAAAATATGGTATATCCAGAATTCTCTTCCTTTTGCAAAAGGAATATTTTCTATTTTGTTTGTTTTATAAGACAACTGTACATTGAGTAGGTCATGTTCTAGGACACAATGATTTCTTCTGGATTTTTGGATTTTGTTCTTGCCTTGTGTAAACTATGGATGTAATCTAGAATACATTCAGAACCCTGTGGAGTTAGATCAGTTGTAGTGATCAACATTGCTTGTCCACCATTACTGGCATTCTATAATGGTACTATATTCAAGAGAGCGTGCCCATTCATTATTGATATTCTGAATGAGCAATCTGAAATATACTTCCAAGATGTTGCAGGGTTTTCCAGAGTGTATTTTGGAATTCATTCAGTCTATAAGAGACCTTTGGGTAGTGTGGGTGGCATATAAATTAAATTTAAATAAATAAATAAGGCTCTGTGTTAAAGGTGAATGAGAGTACAGTGGACCCTCGACCTACGGAATTAATCCGTATTGGAATGGTGGCCACAGGTCGAAAAGTCCGTAGGTCGAATATGCTTTTCCCATAGGAATGCAGTGAAAACCATTTAATCCGTAACCAGCCCAAGAAACCCCCCCACAAAAAATTGAAAATAAATATGCCTTACCTTTCCGAAGTCTTCCAGGGGTCCCCCGCTGCCACCATCACCGTTGCCCGAGGCCTCCGAGGGCTTCCCTGCCGCTGCCGGAGGCCCCCTGCTTGGGAAAGCCTGGTGGACCCGGTCTACCAGGGGAAGGCTTCCCCCAGTAGGCCCAGGCTACTCCCCAGGCTTTCCCGGGGAGTAGACTGGACCTACCGGGGGAAGCCCTCCCTTGGTAGGCCCGGTACACCCTGGGAAAGCCTGCATCAGTGGGGGCAGACCTCCGAGAGGCCTCCCATGGCGCAGGCTTTCCCGGGGAGTAGCCTGGACCTCCCGGGGGAAGCCCTCCCCTGGTAGGCCCGGTACACCCTGGGAAAGCCTGCATCAGCGGGGGCAGACCTCCGAGAGGCCTCCCATGGCGGCGGGGAAGGCCTCTGGAGCTCCCTGTCGCTGCCGATCGTGCCTCTGGAGGCACTTGAATTTGGCGCTTTCCCTGCCTCCCCCTTCCGGTCCATAGGTCAATTCTCTGGCCTCAAGTCAATTGGAAATTTTGCGGTCGGAGAAGTCCGTACCTCAAAAAGTACGCATGTCGAGGGTCCACTGTAATAGATGTTCCATACATGTTGACTAGTGGCAACCTGTATAATGTGTAAGTTAGCAATTTGTTTGTTGGAGGGGGTTGTCAGAAGTTATATGGTGCACTTTAGATAATGAAAATAGAGTTTAGCTAATCTGAAAGTGTAGTGTGGGTAGAATTGGTTCCATAGGATGAAGAGGTTTTAGATTTCCACTCAACATTTTGCAATGCAGGAACAAGATTTCAAACTTTTGTTTTGGTTTATAACAACTAGTAAGAGTGACACCAGGTAATATGAATGCAGTAGAGAGTTATCCAGTGACCCATGCAGCTTCCAAAATTAAAAAGCATTATGACAAAAATCTTAAGGAGGCAGAGATACTGAAACCAGATAATTTTATGGTGAAAATATGGGAAGTGAAAAAAATGGATATTCTGTCAGATGGGCTGAAAGACTGTTCAATTCAAAAAGAAACTGAACGATGGGATGTATTGTATAAATGGCAGCAGCTACCAGACAATGTTGGAATAACATAGAATAAAATTAAAATTAAATGATAAGATAAAAGCAGGAGGGTAATCAAACTGTGAAAAAGCAAAAAGTTGATATGTATTAGTAATATGAATTGATTGGATGATGTTATACTTTATGCTCTCCTATCCCCCAAAACCATTTTTCCTTTCCTATCCCCTCTTTCTTTCTGTACCCTCTGTCCTTGTTCCTAAATAAAATAAAATTATTTAAAAAAAAAAAACAACTAGTAAGAGTGCTTGAAAAATAATGTAGGGATAAGTAGAGCAATGAATAATTAATTGAGCAGCATAATTTTTATGGTCTGAGGAATGGATAGAGGAGGATGGCTGAAAGATCACTGCAGTACTGTTGATGGAAAATAGTTAATGTGAGAACATCAATTAATAGATATGCAGTGGGAAAAGACTGGCTTTCTTTCAAGAGAAAGATTATGTTCTAAATGTCTCGGTATAACACTCTGAAAACCTGATAGTAGTTTTGACCAACATGTAGTTTTTCCTCTACTTTTCCCCTCTGGGTTTCCTCTGACAAAAACAAGCACATTGCCCATCCTAAAGTTTTAACAGAGCAGGGTGGAACTGACTTGCACTTAATTATGCTTCAACCTTTTAGCATATGTCTCTTAGAAGACCTTGAAAAATTAACTTCCTGCTATGCCTCTTCCTTAAGAACATGGATGGCTTGCATGATCCACAGTAGTTTTCATCTTAGTAACTATACACTTGTTTGATTTATATAAATTGTACCTTTTATCATTCCACATTGAACATGGTATTGTGAAGTTTTGGCCTTAACAATTGGGATGCAAGTACACTAAACAATAAAAACAAAGTACAGTAATAACAAATCAAAAAGTAGTACTGAAAGCAGGTTTACACAACAATGTGAATGACTTAGCAGTGTTCCCATTGAAAACCAGGGTGTTCTTCAGGAAGCTGTATACTGTACATGATTACAATGATTTGGCCAGTTTCAGGAATGGTTGATTATATGGTTGCACTGGCTTTATTTTTAGGCCATTCATTGCTGATGGTCACCCTATAAGTTGACTAGCAGAGAAGAACCTGGGATATTGGCTCAAATGATTTCTGTATTTAAATAGTTGTGGTAAGGAGGAGGAGCCTTGCTGCATTGAAGGGACTCCTACTCTGCTGAAGTAAAAGTAAATAGACATCTTAAATTTTGCTGTGAATTTGGACAGTATTCTTCAAAAGGCTTCTTAATTTTCCATTTACCTTATTTGCTGGTGTACAAGACGACTTTTTGGCCCTGAAAAACATGCCTCCAAGTGGGGGGGGGTCGTCTTGTACGCCGGGTGCATGTCCAGCAAACCCTCCCTCTCTCCCAGCGAAGTCACTTACCTGGTAGTAAGACCGAGTAGAGCCCCGCTCCTAGCCTGGGAACAGCCTGACTGTCGGGAACAGCAGAGAGGAGGCAGCCATTTTGAGATGCGACCACATGGCTGCTGCCTCTCAAAATGGCTGCCGTCTCTCTGCTGCTTCCCGACAGTCTGCTGTTCGGCGCTGATGCTGTCCTTCTTCCAGCAAACCCTCGTGCTCTCCCAGCAAAAGGAACCAGAATCATGCATACGGAAGAGGGGGTAGTCTTATACAGCAAGTATATAACAAACTCTACATTTTGAGTGGAAATGTTGGGGGGTCGTCTTATACGCCCAGTCACCTTATACACCGGCAAATACGGTATTATAGGCAAAATGGCTGTGGTATAGGACTCTGGTTGAAATGGTTATAAATGTATTAAAATGCTGTGTGAGATTTTGTAAGATTACTATTCTGTTGCAATGGAGAAAACTTGACTTAAGTGGATTTAGAGATGATTTTTGCAGTTTACACTAATAGCTTTACTTATTGTTATAATACCTGGAGTTACTTGAAAAATAGATAATGAAAACTGGAGCAGGGCACTACATGCAGCAGAACAAACAATTGTATTGGGTAAATTGTTGCTAAATCAGAAGAATTAAATGTTAAATTAGAGTGTTTCACTTTGCTCTGCATGAAAACAGACAAGATTATAGGAGAAATCAATTTATGTGAATTAACCTGTGTCTTACGGATTTATTATGGGGTAATTTAAATAGAGATTGATGGAAGAACTTGCATTCTGGTAGCACAAGCTGGCAAAACCAATTTATTCTATTTTGTTTCATTGGTAAATAATGTAAGATATTTCAGCCTCAATTAATTCAGAGAAAATTAAGATAAATGGATAGTCCCTTACAGTGGCTTCTAAATGCTTTTTTTAAATCCAAGCCCAGGTACCAAATGATAATGATTAATCATGAGGCTCGACATGATTCATTTTCCCCAGTGAAGGATGGTGCCAATAAAACTTTCTGCTAATGCCTTTGTTGAGAACATTGTGTCCTTCATGTTTCCCTCTCCTGTATTTTTGGAATTGTAAATAGCATTTTAACTTAAATTTTAATGCACAAGGACTAATGTAGCAAAATGTGTTTGTTTACTATCATGCTATTTCTTATATACTGTTGAAGTTATTCTTGAATACTAGCTGAAATCCTGTTGCTTTATGTAATCAGTTGTACTGGGGTAGAGCTATTGAATTAGTAGAGATTTGGTCAGTCCACTTTGTAAGTTACATTCATTACAGGCCTCCTCTGATTGTGACTTGCTTCACAACAGTAGGTCACAACAAGAGTTGGGGCTTTTGAATCCACAGAATGTATCCAGGAGTCAACTCACCAAATCCTCACTGATCCTTATTAATTCATGTTCCAGTGAAAGTTACATGTGGCACATCAATGGTGTATAAGGAAGACACGGGTATTTTACCATTCACAATGATTCAGTGGGCCTACTCTAGTGCAATATACAAAACTAAGAAACAGAATTTTATTCTCTCAGTATTTGTACTTTTGAACCATTTGTACAATATTATTGGAGAAAATACGTACTTAAAATAATTCTAACCCAGAGTGGCTCTATTTGAGGCAATCATTAATCCTGTCTTTATATTGACAAAATATATTGACAAAATATACTTTCAGCTGTGGAATTGCACTTAAATTGTTTATGAATTACTGTACTATCAAGTAATAAAATTCTCATTTTCAAGATTTTGGATAATGCAGAGCATCTGAGAGAAATGGAAACAAACATCCTTCCAGGCTTTCTTAGACTACAAGAACTGGTAAGTAAACTGGTCATGTGAATCTATCCAGCTTATGAATAGAGATGGGAGCTCCCAGGCAGTCTGTCTCTCATTGGCTGTGCAGGGAGACTCTCTGTCCTACCTCCTCGCCAGAGTGTTTGGCTGCCTAAAGAGGCAGGGAAAGACTAGCTGAGCTTCTGCCTGGATTGGAGCAATGCTGCCAGAGAACAGCCCCAGCAGCATGTGGATCCTGGTTAAGTGGACAAGGTGGCCTGGAGGGAAGGAGATGGAACTCAGTACCACCTGTGGTGCCATGATTCATGCAAAACACAAAGTTCCCATCTCTGCTTATGAAACATCTCAGAGCTGTGCTGAACTGGATTATTGAGCTTGATCCTGAATTAAATAATTCCAAGCCTATCAATACCTTTCTATGACTTTTTAAAAAGTTGTTTTGGGGGACAATTTAAATTGATAGAATAATATCAATAGCTGCAAGTAGTGGTAACTTGTGTTTTAGACTGCATTGCAAACAAGTTCACAGGAATGACTAGGATGTAAACATTTAGCTCATCTTCCAGTGAAAATTCCCTGTGACACATCAGTGATGTTGTATAAAGAGAACACAGGTGTACAGTGGTGCCCCGCTAGACGCTTACCCCGCATGATGTCAAAATCGCTTTACAATGAGTTTTTTGTGATCGCTATTGCGATCGCAAAACTATGTTTCCAATGGGGTTTTTTCGCTTGATTTTGATTAGGAGCCTGCTTCGCGAACTGTTTGTTCGCTAAACGATTTTAGCGGCTCCGCAAAATGGCTTCCCTTCCTTCGCAAAATGGCTGTTTTCCGGACCCCTGTTTTGAAAGACAGCGATTTTAAACAGCTGATTGGCGGTTCTCTATGGGCAATTTTCGCTGGACGATGAAGTCCAGTGGGGTTTTTTCGCTTGATTTTGATTAGGAGCCTGCTTCGCGAACTGTTTGTTCGCTAAACGATTTTAGCGGCTCCGCAAAATGGCTTCCCTTCCTTCGCAAAATGGCTGTTTTCCGGACCCCTGTTTTGAAAGACAGCGATTTTAAACAGCTGATTGGCGGTTCTCTATGGGCAATTTTCGCTGGACGATGAAGTATTTCCCCCATTGGAACGTATTGACCGGTTTTCAATGCATTCCAATGGATTTTTTTGCTTGACGACTATTTCGCTTAACAGCGATTTTCCTGGAACGGATTATTGTCGTCAAGCAGGGCACCACTGTATTACAATTCACAATTTGTAGAACCATACTTTATTTCCTTGAGGCCATCACTCCTAACCAACCACAGCTGATTATTTCCTTCTTATTTCTTTCTTACTTTTTTCTCAGGTGTAGCTGTAGAGAAGGTACTGCTCTGAAAGGTTGTTCATACTGCTGGTATTTTAGAAGAGTATATATATATATGAGAAATGTACAGTGGTGCCTTGCTTAGCGATATTAATCCGTGCAGCAAAAATAGCTGCTATGCAATTTCATCGCTAAGCGATTTTTAAAAGCCCATAGAAACACATTAAAACACGTTTAATGCGTTCCTATGGTCTTAAAAACTCACCTTATGCGAAAATCCATAGGGGTGGCCATTTTTTGTGCCTCTAAAGCGAGGCAAAACAGCGGGCGGCCATTTTGGACCGCTCCCCCGCGATCATCGCAAAGCGAATTTTCCCCATAGGGGCCATCGCAAAGCGATCGCTCTTGCAATGGCAAAAAGTCCATCACAAAGTGATTTCGTTGTAAAACGGAGCGATCGCTATGTGAGGCACCACTGTATTTCCTTTGAGGCTTCTATTTACACGTAAAGAAAACCAATGTGATAGAGTATTGGGGTACAGCTCAGGATATCAGTGTTGGAATCCCTAGTTGGCCATGGAACTCACTATACGTATGAACTTGGGTCAGTCATATTCTCTCAGCTTGACTTACCTTACAGGGCTTATTTACTTTTTTATTTGAAATATTTTTACCTACTCTTGCTCCTAAGGGCAGGTATCGTGGGGCTGGAGTGAGGGACATGCAAGTCACCTTGAGTTCATTATGACAAAGACAGGATAAAAATGCAGCTAAAGCACTACTACTACTAGGATAGTGTGATGGATTAGGACTCTGGAGCCCTGGGTTGAAATCCCAGCTCAGCCATGGTAACTCAGTGGGGGTGTGGGACTGGTAAAAACACTCTCTAAATATCTCACTTACCCTGAAAGCTCTGTTAGGATCAGTACTTATAGAACATAATAGCAAGCTACAACTGCTGCTCCTTTGGCTCCCTTCCTTGTTATGGAGAAGATAATGTTGACCCTGACTGCAGTTAGCATTCAAGTTGTCTAGCTGGCTTGAATTTCCCAACCTTGCACTTGGGTAACTGCTATAGGTTGTGTCAGACCATGTCTCCATGTAACTCTTTATTGTCCGTAGACTGACTGGCAACAAATCTACAGCATTTTGGACAAGAATATTTCATCTTTCCCAGTTCTTGCAGAAGGTTCTGAGGACCAAAGCTGAAATATTTCATAGGCTGAGCAGGTACTGTTGCATTAAATTGTGAACATTGAACAGTGCCTATACTAGTCAATGCATTTTCCTGAGGAATGTTTTCATACCTCAGGATTAAGGGATAAATTTGAGTCTGGCTTCACTAGCTTTATAGCATTTGGAGAAGAACCCTTCCCACTGTTTCTGTAGTTGAGGCTAATAGAATATTCCACAGTCATTATATAACTTGAGGTACCATGATGATTTAATGATGGGTCGTGATATTTGATGAAGGCAATAAATTTAATTCAGAACAGAAATCCAAAGTGAGAACCTGGGTCATAGCCAGGACTGCAACCCCAAAGATGTGTCAGGAGGAATCAGAAACCAGTATAAATGAGTGAGGAAGAGCACAGGAGCACAAACAGTGCAATAGATGAAAGCTCTGATTCACATACTATGGACATGGTTGGCTTACAGTTTATTTCTGCTTCATTATTTAGTACATGCTGAGTATAGCTCACTATGCAGTTACATTACTAAAAACACACACACCACATTTAAATTAGATTTAGCATGTTTTAAATCAATGTAAAAAGGGTGAAAATATGCGTGGGGAAGTGCGGATTAACATGACGGAGAATCGGATTTTTTTAAAAAGTGGCAGTAATTTTTTTTACTCTTCCACCAGAGGGCTTTGATGTGGAATTGATTCCTCATATGTGAACGCCTCTGTCAATGTTTTTTTTAAGGAGCCCTCCTGCTGGCCAACTCTCATGGCCACTTTCCCCTGGCTGGTAAGCCAGTTGGGATGAGCAAGTGGCAGCATTTGTAAATGCCTCTGTCTGTGTAAATAAAGATTGCTGCCACCGCCTCTCCCACTAGTTGTCTTCTCTTCCAAAATTTTGCTCAAGCTTCTCCAGTTTCTTTATTTCTTTCATCTTATATAGTGAAAGAACAGAATGTTACACAGAAAAAAAAGAACTTAAAATAGACATTTCCTTGCAGCCCTAATGGACAGTGAAAGAGCAGCCCTGGCCTCTTCCCTCCTCCTGTCTCCAGTTTCAAAAGAGGTATGGGGGAGACCTAAAAACAGTATTCTCCAGCCCAAGCTGAGTTGTGGGGGAGGGCTGAGAAGGATGGAGAGTACACACATATGCACACAGTGAGTGGAAAAGGAGCTGCATGGATCAGAGGAGAGAAAGGAGAGATGTTTGTCTCGCTGTGCATGTGTCTGCTGCAAGAAAATATGTTTCAGGTTTTTTCTATGTGACATTCTGTTGTTTCACTATACCAGATGCAAGAAATTTTAAAAAAATAGAGAGGCAAGAAGATGCACACATCAACACAAAACCCATGTAAGGCTGATCTCCGTGAGTTAAGTATCTGACTGCACGGCCCAAGGTTGGGAGAATGATTTCCCACTGTGCATCCCAGAAGAGTAAGCCTGTGTGCTACATAGCCCTAGAATATCTCCTGAAGCAGGGAGAGGTAAAGCACTTCTGAGTACTCTATATCTAGAAAGGATCACCAGAAGTCAGATCAATTGTAATTAGCAAGTAAGTGAAGTAAGTGGGAAAGATGGTACTGTATTAGCCTATGTCCAGACTTGGGTAAGAGAGGCTGTCTGCTTAAAACTTGAGGTTATTTTGGTGCTCTGTACTTGAAGTGACAGACATAATCCCCCCCCCCAAATCTTTTAAGAAGAAACACCAACACTAAGATAATAATTTCTGATAATTTCTACCATAGAACATATTATCTGAAGTGGATGTTTATCACTTCCTAAAGCTAGTTTCTCTGTTCTAGGGCAGGAAGGTTTAAGTATATTTCTCTAGACCAGGGGTGGGCAATTAATTTCTATAGGGGGCCACATGAAAAATCTGAACTGTGTTTGGGGGCCGAACCAACCCATTAGGTGGGTAGTAATAGGCCCCCAATTTGTGGGTAGTAATAGGCCCCATTGGGTGAGGCCCTGCAGTGCTGACATAGTTAACTTCCTAAACCTTTTTAGGACTTGAGCGATGACTGGGGGAACAGACAGGAGTGGCTCGCGGGCCGTATGTGGCCCACGGGCCACACTTTGCCCAGATCTGCCCTAGACCACGGGAGATACTACCTTTAGGGCACTTCCTTGTGCATAGAAATCTGGTGAAATGGGCTGTTCAGTTTTTGCAACTGTGCATTAATCTTGGTAGCAAGCTGGGGTTGAGAATGGCTTTTACTTGCTTTGGCACTTTCATGTCTGTCCTTTGCAATAATCTGATGAAATGGGGTGTAAAAATGCGAGACTTCAACTGCAGTGAAAAAAATGTGTTTTGCTTTGGATTGATGGCTTGAGCAGCATTCAAGTGGATTAGAGAAGCATATTGCATGATTCTAATAATCTTGCCAGGAGAAAGAGGCCAAAGAGTGTTGTGAAAAATAAACAAGACGCCTCCGTCTCCTATAGGGAGAATTATTAAAAATCAGCTTTTTGCAAATCTCTTGATGCTGCCTCAGGGAAGGATGTCTCTGCCGTCATCGTTTTTGTGTGAT